AGAATGTCCTAATTAGAATGAATGATTGTGAGGATGACACAGGACGGCACATTCCCCCTCCTCCCCTGTTGTACATAATAAGGTCGTCAGGAGATAGAGTCAGCATGGCAGCAGCTATCTGGGAACTCTATCAGCTGCTCTGTGTGAGAAAGATGTGGCAGTCTGCTCCCTTAAAGATTTAGTCTTGGAAATTCTCTGGAGCAATTCTACTCTATTATGTCTGAGACAAGTAGGAATTGACTCAACAGCAACATATTTGATTTTCTGTGTTTGTCTGTATATCTATTTAGGAGGCCTGGTGGCATAAAAATTACATTTAAGGCCATCAGCTCCTTCATAGGAGAAAGATGAAGCAGTTTCCTTCTGCTAAGATTTACAGCCTTAGAACCATGATGGAGGGTTGCTGTGAGTCAGAATCAACAGAGCTGCATTGGATTTGGGTTAATATAATCTATTTAAGGAGTCCTGGAAGGCTGCAGGGAGCTCTGGTAAAGTATGTCACATATACAATCCTGATCAAACACCCACCTGCTGCTCTGTAGGAGAAAGATGAGCAGTGTGCTATCGCACAGACTTACAGACTTGGAAACCTGATGGAGGGTTGCCATGAATTGGAACCAACTTGGTGGGCGTGGGTTTTTTGTTTTGTTTTGGTTAAAATTATTCAGCTGCTAACCAGAAGACTGGTGGTTCAAGACAGGTACTCACAGGAGAAAAATGAAGCCGTCTATTTCTATAAAGATTTATAGACTAGGAAATCCTATGGGATGTGCTACTCTGTTATACAGGGTTATCTGCATAAGACCTGTTGTTGATGAGCCTTCCTCCCATCCTGTTGCCATTCTTTTCATAGAATCCAGCTTCACAAATTATTTACTCAACATATGGATTGAATAGGTATGGAGAGAGGATACATCCCCGATGCAAACCCTTCCTGATTTTAAACCACAGTATTCCCTTGCTCCCTTTGGACAACAGCTTCTTGGTCTCGGTATAGATTTCACATGAGTACAAAGAAGTTTCTGGGATTTCCATTCTTCTCAATGTGAGCCATAATTTGTTATCATCCACACAGTCAAACCATTACCAAAGATTTAGCTGTGCCACTGTCTGTGCCGATACCCCAGGGTGTTCTGTGCCATGATATTTATATGCCTGGTTGTGTTAGTTTGCTTTTAGAGGTACAACACCTATCTATCAATTTGGTTATTGGGAATGCTCTGCATGTTACCAATAACTTCCTATCTTAGATGTGTATGTTGTTGTTGTTATGTGCAATTGAGTCACTTGCAGCTAATAGCAACACTATACACAACGGCCCTGAACACTGCTCTTTCTTGAGCCAACCTCATTGTCCTACCTCCATTACTCCAGTCACTGAGTCAATCCATCTCATCCAGGGTCTTCCTCTCTTGCGCTGTCCCTCTACACTTCCAAGCATGATGTCACTGGTCCCTCCTTACAACATGCCCAGAATGTGTCAGATGGAGCTTTAAAATCCTTGCCTCCAAGGAGCATCCTGGTTTCACCCTCTCCAGGTTAAACCTATTTGTTCTCCTGGCAGCCCATGTATATTCAATACTCTTCTCCAGTATCACAGCTCAAAGGCATCAATTCTTCTTCTATCATCCTTAGTCATTGTCCAGCTTTCTGATGCATATCAAGAAATTGTGAAGACATGGCCTGGCTTGGATATTATTATTAGCTCCTATTAGTACAGCACTTGTCTGTCAGTCAGATGTACTGGTTAGCTTGTGAGGTGGTCTAATGCTGGAATCTGTACTATCAGTGTCTCAGGTACCAGAAGGGTCATATACTGGACAATCCTATTTATATCATATTCTTGAATAATGTAATAGACATGGAGAATAGCTTAGTAATTGTAAAAAATTACAGGTAGTTTCCAAGCACAAAAACATGAGTCCAAAAGATATGGTTTGCTTCCAGTTCTTCTGCCTTGGTGAGGCATGGCATGGAGGTCTCTCCACTCTGTTCCCTTCTCTCTCCTTTTCTCTCTTAAGAACACACAGTAATGCAGACCACACTCCAGGGTAACTCCTTTAGATGGGATCTCAGGGACTGTAATGTGATTAAGGATGTTACATTTCACCCTTAAATCTTGTTCAACAGTTTTTTTTTTTTTAGAAAAGGAGATTGTAAAAAAAGCAAGGCCAGTGTGGAGGCAGCATGAGGATGGAGGATCGCAACAACATTCACAACACAAAACCAATTCTTAAGTGGTCACACATATCCCTACACTTCTAAACATTTTTCTGCTAGTTCCAGCTTCAGCATTACTACTCTACTGGGTCTGAAATCCATTGCAATACCTTTGCAGACTTCACAGAAAGCATTCTCACGTTTATGGGGTTTTAGTAGGGAATTTAATAGATTGGCAGCAAGATGCAATCTCCTAGCTCAGTGTTACCAAGTTCTCTTAGTATTGCCAGTTACAGCTTCTTCCTTTAGTCCTTCAGCAAACTTAGGTAAAGACCTTTGGCTCTGGCTTTTTTGGGTAGCAGTTCCAAGGTTAGTTTTGATTCACATTGGTCTCTGATTCTCCGTGGCTGCTGCTGTTGCTGCTGTTCCTGTAGGCCTGGTCTGGCTGGTGCAGGAATACCTGACGCTGAAGGACATGAGCTGGTTCCTCTTCCTTGTTGGTGTTGGGATTCTTAAATTCTGCCCCTGAAGCCACTCAACTGAATGGCACGATTAGCCAATTGCTTGTGGATAGACTAATTAATACACCCTATTTGCAAGATCTCACATATGTATGTGACAAAATCAAACTTAATGGCTAGGAAAGTAATTTTGAACAATAAACCCTGATATCTCAGAGGTCATTACAAAATTTCCATATTACATAAATACATGTAAGTATTTTTGGGAATTAGAACTCAATCTAGAAAGAGGCCGTGTAGTAATTTCTGTATGTTGATTGTGGTGGTGATTATATTAATCTCTCTATATATTAAATTACATGTTGTTGCGTACTGTAGAGTTGGAGCCGACCCATTGCTGACCCTCCAGTGGGTTTTCAGAGGCAATTAATCACATGGGAGAAGATTGCCTATCTTTCTCCTGCGTAGTGGCTGGTGGCCTCCAATGGCATATCTTTGGGATTACAGCTCAGCTTCTTGCCTCTAGGCTACCATAGCTCCCTATTATACAACCATACACAAATTAATTCTTACAAAATTGGCAAATGTGAATAAACTTTCTCTCAGTGTCAACTTTTTAGTTATGATATTGTACTTCAATTATACAAAATCATCTGGGAAAACTGAGTAAAATGGTATAAGGATTTCCTTCATAGATTTTTTTCTGCCTTCTAGAAATTGATAATTGTTTAAATATAAAACAGGCTTTATTTTAAAGAACTTTTTTAAAACTAATGATTTAAAAAAATTTTTTTGAGGATTGATTTGGACAGTAAGGCATCCATATTGTCCCAAATAGAATTTTCCTCATTCTTATTGTCTTAGCTGGTTTCCAATTTATTTTTAAGTTTAGAAAAATAAATTATCATTTTGATTTGATATTAGGAAGGAAATGGGATAAACACATAATCAATACATTACCTATCTAAAAGCAGTTTTTTAAGGTTTTTAACCAGGGTTAGGACATTCAGATAGATCACTCTGATGATTTTTAAAAGGAAGAATATGAGGGAAGACAAAATTTGGAACACAAAATATTACCTTCATTGGCTCTAAGAGATGCACTTTTATTATTTTTAACATCTCCTAAATTAGGATATATAGCTATTAGTCAGATAGCAGTCATATTGTCTTTGTCACTACCTGCACATAAACACTAAAACTTGCCAACTTGATGTTCCAAACTTGGAAGAAACTTCTAGAGAGAAAAGAACACTCTTTAAAGAAATGCTGCATCACAAAAGCCCTTCACAGTATCAGCAGAAGACTACATTGTAAAAATAAAAGAAAATATAATCTAATTTAGAAACTTTAGGAATATTGTTAGCATGTTATCACATTCCTATTTTCCTTTTTATCTATGTGACATGATTTAAAAAAAATCTAAGTTGAAACTAATCTACACTTTTACTTTTGATAAATGTAAAAGAAATTTTTATCAGTTTATTTGCAAAAATTGTTTTTTAAAGAAAGCACATAAGATAATTTTGAGTTTTAGAGTTAATGTCCAGGTAAGGAATGTGAGACAAGAGGCGAGAATTCTTGAAATATTCTCCTGAATTTTTACCCAAGAAGATAAAACTGACTCAGTTTGTCAATTATTGGAGCTCGGGTAAAGGTGAATACCAACCAATCTGGCAAGGCTTCCAGGTTCCTGATTTGGGCAACTGAGTTGATGTGGTAGCCTATTTGAGAAGGGTAGATGAAGTCGGTTTGAGGGTAGGGGCTTTAACTCAGAACAAACTGCAACGGGCTTGGCTGTGTTGAAGTCAGTGACTGAACCTGCACTTCCTTTGTGCTCTGGTAGTGCTGAAGCCTTGGTACTAGGTATCCATAGCCTGTGGCGATGCCTTGGGCTCTGCATCCTTGGTGCCACAGGCGGCAGGGAGGAGCGCCAGCCAGGGCTAGGCACCTCATCTGCGCACACCATTGAACCGCCGTCCCTCCCAGCGGCCACTGGAAGAAACGTTGATTGGTTGGAGCTACCAGTGGAGCATGCCTGGACACCAAGAATGGCACAGTCCTCAGAAGGTGCCAAAAAAGCCCAACTTGCTGTGGAAGTCGCCCTTCCAGGAGGCTGGCCAGTAATGCCACCCCGCCCTCTTGTTTAGCTAGACCGGTAACACACTCTAGCTGCATTGGTCAGTCAATTTTCCTAACAGCAATCGCTCCCTTCCCGAGTCCTGAAGAGACGAGCGCTGTGATTGGCAAAACGGCAGGGGCGGGGTAGAGCCTGCGTGCCGGTCACGGGCGTGGATTGGGCAATAGGGCTGTTAACGTTCTAGGGAGGCGTGGCCGCCACTAATAAAGTCTGGGACCAGCGCGGCAGCTGCGGTAAGTTCCACCGCAGCTACATCTCCGGGTGGTCAGCCGGAGCGGAGTTCGGGAGTTCCGTAGACTCTACCGCAGCTGTCCCCCTCTGCTGGCTTTCTCGCCGCAGCCTCTGGAGGAAACAGGCCCCGAATCCTGTCAGAAAAATGTGAGTTAACTGTGGTGTAGGGGACACGGCACCTCTTTACTAACTCTCACCCCCAGCGCCGGACTCTGCGGGACGGAAAATGGCGCATTGCAGCAGCTGCGGCGACGCGGGGAATCACTATCGCGCGCCGCCCCCAGACTGGGCCACCCCCCGGGAGGGGACAACACCCCATTCCCACATGAGCCGCAACCAGCATCCAACAGGCGGGGTGGGGGTTAGGGGTCCCACACTCATTGCATCCTTCTTTCTCGCCTGTGGGACGACGCTTCATTCCAGGTTTCTGTATAGTGAAACCTCAGAGAGGGCAAAGTGGGGGTTGGAGACATTAATTAGGGTAGGGGGCTCGTGGGTCTTTCTTGTGTCTGTCTCAACTTGTACTCAGACCTCTGGAAAGGCTGTCATGGGTGCACCTTCCAGTTAGTTTGCTCTGCAGCCTCTGGATCTGTATATGCCCCTCACCCTCAAAGTGTTAAGTGTTCCCCCCTGAAGGCTGGAGCAAAGCTTCAGAAACTTACTTACCTGCCAGTTCTCTAGCTCCAGGTGGGCAACTCAGAAAGACTCAAGGGACAGTGGCTTGTGATTTCATGCAGCCATTCATTCCAAGGCCGCTGAGTAGAAGATATATTTCTGTCATTGTGTCTTGGCTAAGTATTTGGAAAAGAAATAACTGAACATCCTCCCCCGGCCTCAATTTACTCAGTTTTGTCTCTGGCATCTTCAGCATCACCCCTGTCCCAACATCCTGAGAAAGAACTATGGACAGGACCACAATATTTCTCTTGCCAAATACTACATTGAGCTACGGTTCTGGATATATTCTTCTGACAACAAAAAATGGGAAAAGGTTGTGTTACATAAGGATTATAACTACTCATGGGTGCTTTATCGCTGAATTATTTCAATTCTCAACAGAGAGTGAAACTATTCCTCTAAATGTAATTTTTTTAGCTATTTCACTTTTAAAAAGATTTCTAATTTTTTATTTGTGGTTGTAGTTGTATATGATAACTCAGGCATTTTGGACAAATCCTGAGAATGCAGGTATTTTAATTTTGGGGAGGGGGAGCCCTTTCATCTTATCGGTTCCCAGGAGTATCCATGTGGGAAGAAGGAAGGAGAGAGAGAAAGCATGATGGCTAGCAGGGCATCACGAGGTCCCTGACCTTAATCTTGTCATTGGTGCTACCATTCTGGATTGCTTCCAAGACCAAACAGACTGCTACATACTCATTAAATTTTCCGCCTTTTGTGGATGAAGCAGATTGCTTAGCTCTGTAGCAGCACAAGTGTCTTGTGGCTCACATGGTGGTGTATCTTTCTTTCCTCTACCTGCCTTGTATTTTAGAGGGGAAGGATTCGTTACATGGGAATGAGTCAGGTGTAACCTCCTGGCATAGTCTCTCTGAAGGATTCTAAAAGAAATTCACTTCAGAGCTTCTGGCTATTTTATTGTGATTAGTCAAGTAGTTTCCTTTTTTGTTGATATTCTTGATGGTTTACTTTTGGGTTGCCCCTCTGAAATATGTTTTGTGAAGTTCTGCTTCTATTGCTATTTTTGTTCTCCAACTTTCAGAGATCTCTCTTGTGCCTATGGGTTCTACCTTTGCAGTGACAATCTTACACTTTAGGTTAGAGGTGGATTTAGTATTATTTATTGGGAATTGGAGAGTAGTTTATCTGGCAGAACTCATAGCAGATTTTTCACATCTGAGATGAGATCCCTTAGCTTTAGGAGGTACTGAAATTTAGACCAGTGGCCATGTGTGTAAGGGTATAACAAAGATTTCCCTATGGGGGATATGAAGCTAGGGTAGTCTCCTGAGACTTCTTGCCAAATCTAGAAAAGAACAGACAGAATGTCTATGATGCATGTGCGTTAAGAACCATTTCCAGCATTTTTGTTCCTGCCTGTGCTCTTGGAACAGTGTCTATAATTAACAAAATTGCTTTGGGCCCTGGGTTCTAGAGCTAAGTGAAACCCCTATCTTCTCTGCCAAAAACAAAGTAAGCAAACAGCCCTGACTCACCCCACCTACATAGGCTTTGCTTTTGATGATAATCCAAGTTGTCCTTATTCAGCAATCCTGATGTAACATACCCTATAACTAGATCTCCTTCTGTGGAGTCAGTCAGCTTGCCGTTTCCTTTGTTAAGGCCTTGGAGGTGAGGGAAAGAACAGTTCAGCCCAGAGAGTTCAGTCTTTTCCTCTAAGAGTTTCTCCTAGCTGGGATTGGAATTTTCCCAGGTTGACTTCACATGAAAGGCTCTGACTTCAAGGGAATCCCTGGTTAAGTAAAAGGTAGCACATTTCCCCCTCTGGCCTCTGTGCCAGAGGTCTTGTGTATTTGAGTTGGGTCTAACATCAGATGATAGTCAGTCAAAATACAACCTCATGATAATCTGGATGTCTCCGAGATGCATCTGAATGTTGTTACAGGATTTTTCTGCTTTTACTTTTTGCCACTGTATTGCATCTCCCTGTTTGGGGTGACCAAAGAGCTAGCATCCCTCCTAGTTACACATGGAACCAAACTAAACCCAATGCCTCAAATCCATTTCAACTCCTATCGACTGTATAGGACAGAGAACTACCACCGCATAGGATTTCTAAGGCTCTGTATCTATACAGAAGCAAAGTGCCAGCCACACTTTCTCTTGTGAGGTGGCTGGTGGGTTTGATTCATTGACTGGTTAGCAGCTCAGTACTTGAACCACTTTGCTACTTAGACTCCTTTTATTTGCACATAACCCAATTATAATTGCTTTGGTGGTCTGAGTAAGAAATGTCCTAATGACAGAGTTCTTTTCTTATCTGGGTTACTTTTTGAACTCTGTCCACATCTTTCCACAGGTCGGCTCCAGCTCAGCCACCCGCCCAGGGGGAAGAAGGGGCTGCCCCAGGTGGGGGTCCCCCAGGTCCCCCTCCTAACATGACCAGTAACAGACGACTACAGCAAACCCAGGCACAAGTGGAAGAAGTAGGTGGAAGCTGTTTTCTGAATCATGGCGTTTAGAAAGAGAAAAAGAACATGTTGTCTGTTTTTCGCTTTTACAGAGTAGCTAGAGACTGGGAGTGGGATGGGATGGTGTTTGCTTTTTGAGTCCAGTAGGACCAGCCTTGAATTCCTGGACTCTGATCTTTCTTGTCTCTAGCGGGGGTCTTAGCAGCTTTATTTCTGTGGCCCCCTCAGGTGGTGGACATCATGCGTGTAAATGTGGACAAGGTTTTGGAGAGGGACCAGAAGCTGTCGGAGCTGGATGACCGAGCTGATGCCTTGCAGGCGGGAGCGTCACAGTTTGAGAGCAGTGCTGCCAAGCTAAAGAGGAAGTATTGGTGGAAAAACTGTAAGGTGCGTTTTCCTTGCCTTCTCCTTCTTTTGCCTGGCTTCAACAAGGAGAGAAAATCCCTCAGGCTGTAATGCCGCAGGATCTCTTCCCTGCAGAGCTCAAGGAGCCTTCTTCTGCATTACCTGTACTGGCCACCAGGGGAGGCTAGAGTATTCAGACTGGGAGGAAATGGTACCCTGAGGAGACTGGGAATGTATAATTCCCCCAGTGATTCTCTGTAAAAAATTCTTGCCTGGCTCTTCAGACAAACCCACTATGATTTTTTTTTTAATTGAAATTTTAATGAAAGTTTATAGAGACTTAGGATTTCCATTCATTCATTATTGCACATTTTCCTCCCTGCCCACCCCTCCTGCCAGTTGGTTTTTCTTTGAAAAATAGAAAAAAAACCCCTTTCATTATTATACAATCCCCCATGCCCTCAGTCCACTCCACCATGAAGCTCTCATTCTGGACTGTTGTCATGAAAGTAATACCTAATCATATATCCCTTTCAAACATTTCTCTCCCCTCATCTGTCTCAATGCAGTATGCATTATTTATCCCCTCTTTTCTTGGATTCTGCTATGATTTTTTAAAAAAGTAATATTTGTAACTTTTAAAAACAAATCATGCACTGTATAGTGGGATATGAAACAATTAACTAAAGATCCAAAGTCTTCACCTTCACTGGAGTTTGTTTCAAAGCTTTAAGGCAAGGGGAATTCAGCAAAAAAGGAGCCAATTGTGATGCTCTGGTGTTCCTAAGGACTGTTGCTGTGGTCTAGAGGTTGTTTTCCATGGGAAGTGGGAAGGTTGGGCTGCCCTGAGAGGCTTGCCTGTCTCCTATGCGATGTGTATATTCTTACACTGTCCACCCTCTTTTCCTCCTTCCCAAATTTAAGAACTCAATTTTTAAAATCACTGTTTCTTTAGATGATGATCATGCTGGGAGCCATTTGTGCCATCATCGTGGTAGTTATTGTAAGTAAGTATCGCTGAGGTTGCCGGTGGGGTGACAAGGTGGGAAGGTCCCGGACTCTTCTCCCAGCCCTGCCTGCCTGCCTGCCTGCCTGGGGAGTGGGGCTGCTCTGACTGAGGAATGGAGACTGCTTCTGTGGGACCATCGCCTGGTTTGGGAGGGAGCACGGGTGAGTATGCTGGACAAGTCAAGGAACTTGCTTGATGGACAAGCTTTTCCTCTGCAAGATATTGTGGGGAGATGTTCCCTCCTTTCTGAGGAAGTGGGGCAATGCTGATCATCACTGGCTTGGGTCAGAGGGAGACCACTGGGATGGGACGCCTACAACTGGAGGACCTAAATGTCTGTAACTTGATGTAATTTCCCTCTTGTTTTCTCCTGTCTCTTTTTCTTTTCCATCTTGGACTTCCTGATTCCTGTGTCCAGTCTACTTTTTTACTTGAGAATGTGCCATCCCTACCCTGTTCTCCATTGCCATCAGAACTCATGCTCCTCTCCCTCTGTTTGCTCTCTCAATGAACTCCCCCATCTGCCTTCTTACATCCCAGTCCAGGCTTCTCTGCCACCATTCCTCCTTTTTTTGTTGCTTTCATTTGCACTCTTGTCCCTCGACACTAGAAATGCTGCTCGTGGCACAGTCTTGAAGTAGCTACCTGAAGAGCAACAGCTCGTGCCTCCGCCCTTCCCCTTTTTCTTCTGTACTCTCAAGTTCTCCCAACGCCAAAAGAATTGGAGACCATGGGAAGTGGGTAGGAAAGGAGACTAGCAAAGGTGAAGTACTCCAGAAGCTGCCAAAATTGGGAGAAGAGAAAGGGTATGGATGCTCACAGTGTCCTCTGGAGAGGCCAGGCAGCTGGCATGAGGAGACAGCACACTTGGGAAAAGTGATGGCTCTTGTCGTGCTGCCTGGGCCACTTCATCCAGAACTTTGCTTCTCTGCCAGCCCTGGAAAAGGAGCCTGAGGGTGGACCCGGTGTCTGAGTGTCTGCAGTGCTTTGTAAAGAAAGGAGCACCTAGTGGGTGTTGGTTGATTTTTTGGGTTTTGTTTGTTTGTGTTTGTTTTAGCAGTTACTTCTAAAATGTTAGCCTAAGATATTCTTTATCTTCAGGGATCTTATATACAGCCCTTTATTTTGATCTTTGTTGACCGGGAGAATAAGTACTTAATAATTGAGAAAATACTGAAACTCTCATTCCTGACCTAGAAGCAATATCATAAGCTCCTAACTGGAAGGAGTAATTTCTTCACATTCTCTGTAACACTCCGTATTGTTCATGAAGGGCTCCAGATATTTTCATACAGCCAAAGTTTGAGATTCTTGCTTCATTTTAATTGTTGACATAGAGAGAGACTACCTGATAGTTGTAGAAAGAGCTACTTCTTTTCCCTCTCGCCAAGGAGATACCTGTCCCATACTTCCTGTTGATAAAGGAAGGTGTAAGGGTGTTAGAAATGAATATCTAGGGAATCTGTATCATCATGTATTCTTCGCAAGGACAGGGATAAAGCAAGAGGTCCTCCTTGTGGCCTGCTTGCCAGCTCTGGGCATTTTTAGAGAAATTTTATGTAGCTACCAGCTCAGCCTTTGGGTGGGAAGTGTGACAGTCTGAAGACAGGTGAGCCTGTGTGGCAGTGTTGTCATGAGGCCCCCTCAATTAGAGGTGCCTCTGTTCTTGCTGTTATGTTCCCCTTCAAAACTGCCCTTCCTTACCTCTCTGAATTGACTTTGCTTCCTTCTTTTTCTCCTCTTTGCATGCTTTATGGGGACAGACAGTGGAACCTGAGGATGGGAGCTGTTCAGCCTGTCTTGGGACTACTGCTTGCCTTCAGGATAAGCTGTTGCGTGGAATAGATCAGGGTCCTCCCTACAAGAGTGAGGGGATGTGGGCAAACTGGGAATAGAGGAGGAACACACAGCTCTTTATTCCTTCCATCCTCCAGCCCACAGGCAGGAAGAGGCCGAGCCTGTGCTGGGCCTGGATGCTCACTTTCCATGCAGCAGCATTTCATTGTGTAAAACCATCCTTCCTTCCCTTGCCCCTGTTTCCCACACTCCCTTCGTCCTGCCTTGGGCAGGACTGAAGAGCTGGAAGAAAGCAGTCAGTGTACCCTCCCAGCGGCCCCCCTCGAAGGTCTCCACTCTCCCCTGGGCTCCTCCTTGCCTAAGGCAGGGGGTCACCGCTGGAGAAGAACCACCACTGTCCTCGATGTGTCCCAAGCCTGGAGCATACCCACCCTCTTGGCCCACCCAGCCCTGTCAGAGGAATTATTTTCTGGGTTTCTGTCCCTCTGAGGCTCACCAGAAAGTTGGCTTTGATCTTTTGGGGGTGTTATCCTTCTACTTTCTTTCTCACCCCACCCTGTGCCCTCTTTTGTGTCTTTTGCTCTCTCCCCCTCCCTCCTACTACCCATGTGCATGAGCAAAAATGCAACTAAACCCTGGGACTTTGCAGTCAAATGGAGCCAAGCTTCCCACATCCCCTCCTTCGGTTTGCCATGAGCCGATGTGGAGTTTCCACTGTGTGTCTGTCATCACCTCTTTGTCTTTTTTCCTAACCCTGTTCTCATACTTGTATAGAGTAATAACAGTTGTACTTCCACCAAAGGCATGTGGCATATTTATCGATTTCATGTATTCCAAACAAAGGCAAAAAAAAAAAAAAATACAAATTCCTACCACAGCGCTGACTTGGCTCTTATTTGGGTTGGGCCAGTTGGGAGAAGGGGAGGGGCTACCTGTTCTTTCTAGTAGCCTGGTGTTGTTTTGAGCAGGAAAGTTTGGTTTATGTGTGCTGTATGGCCTTCAAGAGATTAAAGATCTGTGTGTCAGCAGAGGAAGTGGTCTTCGCTTTCAGCGTTTGTATCTGAAACAGCCCGGTTCTTGCAGGTGCTGGTGAGAGGAAGTGATGACAGGAAGTTGAGTGGGTTCCTTACACTGGCAAACAACTGCAGGTTTCCTCAGATGTCTGCCATCTCCCTCCTCCCTAGGTCCTTGACTGGTCTCGAGGCACCTGCCCAGATGAGTCCTCCAGTGAACACCCTCTGTTCCCCATCACCCTCACATGCAGCTTTCTTGTGTCAAGTTAACACTTTTCAGGGGAGCTCTGGCGGCCTAGTGGCAAGGAGCTGCAACTACAATCCCAAAGGCTCATGGTTCTAATCCACCAGATGCTCGGCCGGGAAAGGGGGGACAGTCTCCTCCTGTACCAGTCAGATCTGATTTGACGATACACTCACACAAAAATAAAAAAAAAAATTTAAAAAAAAAAAAGTTAACACTTTTCGACCATGTATGTTTTAGAAAGGAATTAAAGAAGACACCTCTCCTCTGCAGCTCAGGGGACTGTTTGCTTAACCTCGTGCCAGTGGAGTAGTTTCTATCTCATAGTGACCTACCGTCAGGTTTCCGAGGTTGTAAATCCTCACAGGAGGAGTCTGTCCTCCCTTCTCCCATGGAGCAGCTAATGGATTTGAATCGCTGACTTTTAGTGGCTAGTACATTACACAGCGCATTGCCAGAGCGCCTGAAGGAGTTTGTAGGCATCCTGCAATACCTGGCCACTATCTGAAAGAGCAGCTTTTTAAAGTTAGGTAGAACAACTTAGATGAAGTCACACAGCTGCTTTTGAAGGCTTCTGTTTCACATTTGAACACTTTGCACGCTGGCGCAGTTAGACCTGGGGGCAGACGGAGAAGTGGAGAGACTGCCTCATAGGGTGGCAGGGGCCTTTATTTTGATGGAATTCAGTGTTGATGTGTGGAGGCCCAAGTCTTGCCCACTTGCCTTTTGTCCCTCACTTAATTTCTTCCTGTTTTCTTTCTTGATACTGCATCCAAAATCCAACCTTTTGTTTTAACTTCCACGCAGATATTCTGCCTTTCTGTTGCCCTCTCGCATCCTTACATTTTCTGTTAGTGTATCTGCCCAGAGCCCACGATGAAGGAGGGATGGATATCCGGAGGCCAAGTCAGTGTCCTGGAGACCTGGTGTTTTCTTCATGTTCTTCTCAGGGTCATTTTGAGCTCTGGGGCTGTGATCTCTTCAGAGCTTCTCTCTGGGAACACGCCTCAGGCTAGGAGGAGGTAAGAGAAAACGAGATGAATTTCAGTTGAGAAAGCCCCCAAAGCAGAGGTCTGTGGTGGCTGGGCTAGCTGGGAGTTAGAGTGCTTGAGCCTCATTCTTCACCGGAATGGGGAGGTGGTAGAGGGAGCTGATCTAAAGGGGAATGGGTTAGGGACCAGGCTGAGGTCAGCTGGGCTCTTACCTTATCGCCACTGAAGCCCCAGGAACAACAGTGCAAGAAGGAAGAGGCTGCTGGCAAAGAGGAATCCAAAGGTCCTTCTCTCTACTGGTGAGAGCAACAAGAGTGGAACCATTACCTGGCCTGCATCCCCAGAGTCCACCCCAGGGAGGAGGAACCCAGGAGTGTGTGTGCGCTCACGACCTTAAGTGTGTCCCTGGTGGAGAAGCTCATGTCAGATATCTTACCCTAACCCAGGACACAGTACAGGGGTACATACTTAATGTGATTGGATGTGGTTTTTTTTGTTTGTTTTTTATGTTAGATAACTATTCCTTACCTCTTCACTCCTCAGGACACTTATAAATATTGATTTATAAGAGATATTTACGTTAGATTAGCTGTAAACAGTTCAACAGATTTTGTAGATAGCTTCACGAGACTGTGACTGAGACAGAGCCCCTGTTCTAAGGAAGCTCACTGTCTAGTGAACAACCAAATCATGCCCAGTGCGCTGTGTCTCCACGTCTGAGTGCAGATGCTTTCCTGTCACTCTGCTGTTTAAAACCTTTACGTGACTCTAGATTTTAGGGTGAACTTAGGGTGAAGTTCGTCATAGGCGGACTCCTAATAGCAATCAGTGATGTAAACCTGGAGAGGAGGCAAGCTCTCAGTTTTCACATTTTCTGGTTTGACCCGTTACTTGGTTAGGTTGCTTTGGGCTAAAATGTAACTGCCCATTTACTCCTCTGTAACCTGGAGTCATGGTAACACAGGACAGTGACATAAAAGTGTTTAGAGCAGGGTTTGACTCATGTAAATGCTCAATATGATTTCACCAGCGTCACTGCCCTCCTTGGCCCCCTTTCTCTATCTACCCCTGGCTTTAGCTGTGCTAAGATGCTTGCAGTTTCCCAAAGCCGTTGAGGACTTTATAATTTGGTCGTCATGTGCCTTTTTTCTGTCTGAGTGTCTGCTTCCCCCGGCAAGCAGAATGTCTCATCTAGGTTCTCTTCTCTGACTTGAGTCTGTCTCCCCAGCTGGTCTGGGCTTCCTGAGAACAGGATTAGGAGTTGCCGAGTCTTAATCTCCAGCCTGCAGCACAGTGCCTGGCATCCTGGATGGGCACATGTAATGAAGTCTTAGGAGATGGGTGGCAGGAGCTATGAAGCCTGCAACTTCAGGAAAGAGAAACCTAGCAGGGCAGGAAGAAGCTGGCACGATGAACAAAGCCAGGGGAAGCAGAACAGGCCAAAGAAGTGTGGGGGTGAGAGAGCCAGGAACCCAAGTTTGGAGGTGGGGAAAGGAGGGCTTCCCAATACCTGGTGGGGCAACCCAGGTGCTGGCACTTAGGGGCTCTTCCAGGGAGATGTGGGCGACCTGGCAGGTGTAAGTGGCACCTGCAGAGCCAGGTTCTGCCGTTAGGAAGGAGGAGATGCTATAGGTGCCAGCTGTGCTTTGCCTCAGGCTGGAGAAGGAAGCCCCAGAGATTTCGACTGGGGTTCCACCCAGCTCCTCTCGGGCCCACGTCACAGCCACATCCAGAGGATAATAGCCATTAATGTTGCAGATGAGGGTGGGTGGCTGAGCTTCATTTACCAAATTCATTCGTATTTTTGGGGAAGCTGGAAGAGAGAATGAGGAATAAGATTTCTGAGGAATCTGCCTGGAGACAGCAAAGGACCCTAAAACCTCATCCTACTGGGAGTGAGAATAGACTGTGGAGGCTAGAGTTTTCTCAATGGTGTAACAAGGGATGGGGGGGTGAGGGGTTTACCTTGGATATAGGCAATAAGGGGTACATTTTTTATAGAGAATGAATAGAAAAACAATAGTAAAGCCAATTAAGATTGGTGTTTTAATTATCATGACAAGCCAGCAATTACAAAGGATGCCTATGGTAAAGCACTCCTCTGCTCCCACCGTCCTTCTCCAAAGGAGCCATCCTGGGAGCAACCACCCAGGACAAGGGAGCAAGATCCTGGGCTTGGACATTGCTCAGTGGGGTTAGCCTAGGGTCCAAAAAGACACCTTATCTGATTTTATCTTGCTGGGGTAAAGCAGCTTGCCATTCTGACAGTTGCCCTGGAAAACACTCCCAATAGACCTGTTCCCTTCCTCTCAGGTTAACTGTGGTCTGTACTCACCTTGGACACTGAGCTGGACAATTTGCTGAGTGCGGTATTGAGAGGTGGTGACCTGGCAGATATAGGAGCCCTCATCCTTTGGAGTGAGGCTGGGTAGGATGAGTGAGGCATTGCCAGCCAGGCGGAGCTGCTCAAGATCCAGGGTAGCGCCCTCCCGCATGGCTTGCCCCTGTCCCATGGTCCAGCTGTGCACCAGATGGCCACTGCCCTTGTGCTGCAGACGCCACTCCACATTGATGAGGTCCAAGCCTGGTGCCATGGAGATGCCACAGTGCAGGGAGGCTGAGGCCCCCAGCAGGAAATTCAGGGATGGGGTCTGTGTTGTCACCAGGAACTCCACTGTGGTAAGAAAAAGCAGGCTAAGTGAGAGCTTTTTTTCTCCCTGAGGTTACCTACTGCTGAGCTGTGGACATGCTTGGAAGGGAGTATGGCAGCCAGGAGGCACATACTTCTTTCTGTCCTCCATGGACAAGGAGACCAGTTGAACTATTTTCCTATCAGATGGAATGGCAAATGTTAACACCTGGTGAATCTGATGAAAAGTGTATGGTTTTCTTGTATTGTTATTTATATTTTCTATACATTTGAAAGAACCCAAAATAAAAAGGGTTGTGTAGGACACAGATGAGCTACGTGCTCTTATTAGTGTTCTTGATTAACGTTGGACAGATGTGAGAATCCCACTTTTCTGAAGCAGCAGGATAAATTTAGACTTGCTAACAGGACAGATAGCATGTTCTGGTGCCTTTCATAAAGAGGGGAGCTCAAACTTGTCTGGGCTTGAATATTTCTTCTTGGAGGCAAGATGCTGGATTAGATTGCTTTGGAAGGATCCTTTCAAAGACTTGGGTTTTACTAATAAGAGACCATGGACACATACTAGTTTATTTCTGTGTAAAATGATACTTCTTTATATTAACCCATCCCTGTGTTCAGCTCTGATTATCCTGAAGCACAGAAGCAGGCTAACTTTCCCCTGGGAGACAATTAGTGTTTGGATCAATGAGACCATTACAGACAACACACAAAAACATCGCCGGGTGCTTTATTTCCTCACAGCAGTCCAGTGAGGTGGAATTTTCCCCACTTCAGAGATGGCACATAGGTTAGCCTTGTGTTTGACTCTAACCTTTTGGTCTTAAGTCTTCAAGAAGGAGGAGAAAAAAAAAAAAAAAAGGAGGAGCACTGAAGCCTATGGGAACCCTCAGATGACCTGGATAGTGGGTGGAAGTGTACTTGTTCTCTTCCTTTTCCACCTTCACTTTGAAAAAAAATACCAAAAATTTTAAAGCTTCTTTCCTGCTACCTGCTCTTATTTTTCTCACCTGTAGTCTGCACAGTGTCCTGAGGGCTGAGGGGCAGGTTCAGCATGGAGGGCCAGGCATCTCCTACGGTCTTCATCACCATGGACACACTAGGCCCCCCTCCGGACACCTGCACATTGGTGATGAACCAAGCTGCTGTCTCACCAGGGGCCTCTTGTCTGGCCTGGAGAAGGTAGTGAGAGATCTCACAGGTCACCTCCTTCCCGTTGCAGTCAGCATGGAGCAAGGCCTCAGCCTGGGGAATCTGCACCAAGTCCACTGGGGAAAGGGGCAGCACAGAGGTAGAGTTGGATTGAGAGCCCCCACAGAGCGAGCCCCAAAGGGCTAAAAACACAGTGGAGGACCCTTACCTGAGGCCTCGAAGATGACAGGTGGGTCTTCTTGGGCTGCAGAGCCCTGTTGGAAATCTGTGAAGCCTTCCAAGGAGCCATCATCCAGTACAGACACCTGCTTCAGCACGAGCAAGGCCTTGGCCCTGTTCTCGTTACTGGCAAAAGTTCCACGACGCCCACTGTCCTTCACCAAGAAGCAGTCTAAGACCACATCCACTGCTCGCCACTGCCTTTCGGTCACACGGAGATCTGTTGGGAGAAGGCGGGTGAGCGTCTTCTTGCCCAGAAAGTTACTCTTACACTTTCCTCCACCTGACGCCCCCAATGGTGGTATCTTCAAGGGGTAAAAGGTGCTCTCAGGGATCCCAGCTGTCTCTGCCTTTTCCTTCATGTCACTCCCCACACATGTGGAAAGCACCTGCTATTTCAGGAACATATTTAACACCCCGGATTTATCTTGCTTAGGTTTTACTCTTATTTCCATATTTTGAACAAAAGACTTAACTCTTTTGTCAAAAGAATTCTCACCTATGCACATCTAAAAACTCCAACAGGGTAAAAAGGGCAGCCACCGACTGGGAAAAAAGTATTTGGTAATAACATATCAGATAAGGGACTTATATCCAGAATTTATTAAATGCTTGAGCACCACAACAAGATAAAGGTAAATAATACAAAAGAAAAATGGGCACAGGACATGAACAGGCACTTCACCAAAGATGACATTCAGATGGCTAACAAGCACATGAAGAAATGTTCAAAATCCCTAGCTCTAAGAGAGATGCAAATTAA